CATGGCAAGTGGGTCTGATTTTGTAATTTATGGCTTTGTAAACAAATGAGATTGAAGGGTATAAAAATTATGCTTTGCCTGAGTAATATCTATATTATAATAAGAAATTTAAATTATGTACTTCTCAGAGGGGCGGTACATAAAGTAGAGGAGAGAGAAAAGCTAGAGAGCAAATGTTACAATTCTCATACTAGGATTTTTTAAAATATTTCCTTATAAAATAAATTTATACCTATATTAAAATTTACTTTATTGACTAAGTTTTAATGTCCAGTTTATTTGTATACCATGATAATAAAGTAGTTTCAAACATACTGGCTCTCCTCTTGTTCAGTGTGGGATTCTAGCTTTTTGTGAGGTATTCGAAGTTAACATTTTCCTAAACTGAAAATGCATATCCGATAGGTACCTCCTCTCACATTTCCCACTCATCCTCCCCACTTCCAGTGTGGTTTGATTTGATCTGACCAATCTTGAAGTGGTTAAAGGTTGCAAGATTAAAGAGGGCGCTAGTTACAATAGAGATAATGTCACATGCCTATTGGGGAAGTGTTGCTTCAGATATATCACATTAGAATACGTGAGGGTAAGTGGAAGTGTCAAGGCTATCGGGAATACATTTTCAGTTTAGGAAAATGTTAACTTTAACTATTTCATATTGCTTGCATAATCACTAACTTCCAATCTGGTCAAATATGTTTGGAATGGACTTGAGCTTTGTATTCACCAACCCAATTCTCTGGAAGCATTCCTTAATCAATTGCAAATCATATTTCATAACAAATAACTTACAATTGACTAAGGCACTTTCTAGAGTCTGTGCCATCTTAATTTTTAGTTTATTGTCATGACAGCAGTTAGTCTATCCCAGTATTAACTTGGAAGTCTTAATAAATTAACCATTTTATGTAATATCATCAATTCCTAGTGTGTAATCATAAAACATAATTATATCAAAACTTGGAATATCAATGTCTCTAGACGTTTTCATTTTAGCAATTTCCTTTATGCAAATAAACATAAACAACCAGTCTAAGACTCTTTCTGAATTAATTATTCTCTTTCATGCATTGAATTCTAGTTCATAGGCATATAATATCAGCGGCTAACTTGAAGATGTAAGAAGTGAACAATTTTCATAATTACAAGAAATTATATAAATCATAATGATGGTAATATTAGACCTATAGATTTTATATGGTTGAAACCTTTTTGAAACATGATTAATATGATGGTTAAACCTACAAGTCATTAGATTGAATTGGGAACTGCAACTGTCAAACAATTGTTTTTTAATTTTCAATTTTTATGACAAATATAAGGAAAATTATCTTCCAGTGGTTCCACATTCAAAGCTGTTATAGATCTGAGTGATTACATAGATAGGCAGATACACAGGAATATATATACCGTGTCTTTACCCCATTATAGTAAGATATTTGGTATAATTTTCTAGTTTTTGTATAAAACATTAACCAATGTAAAACTACCTTTATATAATTTTTATTTTATGAGAGTTCTCAGCTTGTAATTATATTATTATGGATTACAATCTTTGAAAGTTAGGCAACATTTTAGGAATGGAAAGCTCTTGGATTTTTTAATGAAGTTTTGGAAAGTCATGAAATTCAGAGATATTTAAGTACAGTTTGAAAGAGCCTAATTTGTGGATGCATATATTAATATTTAAAAATAGGATTAAAACCAAGATTTTTTGTATGAGTAACATTATCATTGTTTCATATATTATATAGCTAGTGTTAGCCTTGTTTATTAGGTAATAAAAACTAGAGATGGGCATTTAGTGTAATTCGCTAATTGATTAATGATTGAGATCATTAGTCAATTACATTAAACTAATCAATTGTTCTCACATGAGTCTAACTTTCCTATTTCAGCTCTTTTTTAGGTTTTCTTTTAATTATATTTTCAAACTTCTCACAATTTCATATGGTAGACATCTTCACGTACAACAGTTAAGGATTAAGTTATTTTTTAAACCTAAAATGTACATGAAAATGTATCATATATCTAATGTAGTACTAAACTTGTAATGAGCTGAAAATATGATTGATTCTGTTTCATGGGTTTTTCCCTACAAAATTTTACAGTATTACTACTAAAACTAAATAAAATAATCATCCTTAAACTTTGTTTATAAAACTAGCAGAGATCCATGTCACTCTATATTATAATATATATCTATATAAATCAGTGAAAACAAATTCATGGCAATCTTAAAAAAACAAAGGCAATATAACATTCACTATTTGTCAAGAAAACTTTTGATGATACTATACTAAGTGATCTCTTTGTAGAGATTAAAATCATTCATAAGTTGTAAATCTAAGTATTGTTACGCCTCCGTTCGTTAGTTAATTTTCCATAAAAACTCTTTCCGAAGAACTTTAGCAATACAAGTCCTTTCTTAAATAAAACTGGTTTATTCTTTCTGAATACAACTTTGCAATACACTTAATTTCCACAGTCGCGCTATAACAAATGCTATAATTCACAACGAATGTCTCACGTGCTCGTTCAACAATACGTCTCTCTCTCTGTCCGCAGTTCAATTACCCATTGTTGCTGTCAGTTCTTGGCGGCTTATACATACAAGACTACCGCATATCTAGTAAAAGCTTGAGACTTCACGAATCTTCAAGAATATGACGTGTTACTAGCGTCACATGGCCTCTGCTGTCGTAACAGTATTATAAGAAATATCAAAATCACTGTAATCTCCGTCACCAGTGTGAAAAACATGAAAGATAAAAACATCATAAAATTTTAAGCAAGAAGTTAAAAATAAACATATTAAAATGATTCACAGATATATATATATGTTTCTATCATACAAGTGCTCAAAGAAACTACAAACACAAGTGTACACTGAGGAATCAAAGTACTTAAAGCTTATTGTTCTGGGCATTGCCTAAGTAGCATGTTGTGATGCCAGGCTTTTATTTTCTCTTTTTAATATTTTCTATCTAGCTAGAACTAGTCCTTATTAGACATGAGTATTGTATTTTGTATGGATAGGTTAACAACTTAATTATATTATGTGTCGTTATACTGTAATTATTCCCTCTCTAGTAATTTCTGACAAACACAGTTAAATGAGCAAGTTATTCAACAGTCAACTTTTTTAATGAAAGTAATTTTATTCTAAGTAACACTGGTTACATTTATAGTGTGTAATAACTTAAAGCTACACTATTATTTAGACATACAAGGTAAATACGGACATTAAGCCACACTAACATTTATAAGTTGTGTACAATCAGAATGCAGTTGTGCCAATTGAAATAGTAAGAGCTAATTACTTGAATAATTAGAATAATCAAAAATACTAATAATTAGAAACATTAATTTTAATTTGTTGATTGTCTTTGTGGGTCAATAGTTAATTAAGTTGAAAGTAATAATGACAAATCATGTTGGCTTTATTTTGATTAATCGAGCTAATTGCTCTGCTCAACTCATAATATCATGTATGCTTTTATCCATACCTACAGTCATAAGCATCTGGATATGAAGACTGCAATATGACAGGCTGCCAGGAGACTAATATCTCAAACACATAACATTTATTACAAAGTAGTGTAAGTACCCGGCTTCGCTGGGGTTATTAGGTTTATATATTCTAGATAACTATGTCAGTGGGTATATTCTAAACCCATTTTAGCATAAAAGTATAACCTATATACTTTTCTTGCTAAGCAATATGACATAAAAGCC